AATCATATATGTATGTTAATCCTCACCCAAAGATATTTTTCCATTGATTTCCATTGAGGGAGGTTGGAAGAAAGGAAAGAAAGAGAGAACAACGATGGTGCATCGTACATGCTGGGCCAGGGAGGAGCCTGCGACCAAGGAAAGTGCCCTTAGCTGAAATCAAACCCAGGACCCTTTGGTCCACAGGCCAACACTCTATCCACTGAGCCAAACCAGCGAGGTCCCAAAGTCACATTTTTATTCTATCCTCATACCTCTATGAAGACTGCTGGTTGTGCGTGCCCAGAGACCGGACCTTGTCCTGGCCTCCCCAGGGCTGGGCTGAGCCCACAGAAGGCAGATGGGCCCTCCAGCAGGAAAATGCAGCAGCTGGCTCAGGTGTTAGGTGGGGGTGCCGTTCGCATGATCACTGCTCTGGTGTTTCAGAAGCTCCCCAGGAGCTTGTACCCAGACACATGTACCCAGAAAAAAAAAAAAAAAAAAAAAAAAAAAAAAAAAACTTGCCCTGAAGTTTTTTACTTGTTGGTATGTTTAAAAAATATATATTTTTTTTCCATTGATTTCAGAGAGACAGGGAGAGGGAGAGAGATAGAAACATCGTGATGAGAATCATTGATCAGCTGCCTCCTGCATGTCCCCTACTGGGGATCCAGTTTGAAAGCAGGGCATGTGGCCTGACTGCCTGATTCATAGGTCGGTGAACACTCACCATGGAACCACATTGGCCTGGCTTATCTGTGTGTGTCATTTTTAGAGTAGTTTTAGTTTCACAGCAAACTTGAGAGGAAAGTACAGAAATTTTCCATTTATCTCTTGCTCCCTCCTCAACCTCTCCCATGACCTATATCCCCCACCAGAGTGGTACATTTGTTACAATTGCTGAACCTATATTGACACATCATTACCACCCAAAGACCGCAGTTTAAATTAGGGCTCACTCTTGGTGTTGTACATTCTATGGGTTTGGACAAATGTATAATAATGACATGTATTCACCAATATACAATATTATATAGAGTATTTTTAAAATTTAAATCATTTTGCATTTTTCAATTACAGTGGACATACAGTATTATATTAGTTTCAGGTATACACCCAAGTAATTAGGCATTATACAACTTACCAAGTGATCACACCAATAAATCTAACACCCATCTGACACCATTCATAGTTATTAGAATATTATTGACTATATCCCTTATGCTGTACTTTACATGCATATGACTATTCAGCCAGATTTCAGATGGTTCTGAATGATGGTTGTCCTTTTTAGTTGTGATTTTGATGTGTTTGTGGGAGGATGCCAGTGTCGTGTTTACCTGTGCAGCCATCTTGACCAACTATTAGTATACAGAGTAGTTTTATTGCTCTAAAAGTCCTCTGGGCTGTAATCATTCATCCCTCCCTCATGTCTGCCCCAAAGTTTTCATCTTAAAAATGAATGTGAAGCCCTAATTGGTTTGGCTCAGTGGACAGAGCATCGGCCTATGGACTGAAGGATCCCAGGTTTGATTCTGGTCAAGGGCATGTACCTTGGTTGCAGGCACATCCCCAGTAGGGGGTGTGCAGGAGGCAGCTGATTGATGTTTCTCTCTCATAAAAGTTTCTAACTCTCTCTTCCTCTCCCTTTCTCTCTGTACAAAATCAATAAAATATATTTAAAAAAAAACCTAACCTAATAATAGAGTATATGCAAATTAACCAGCACTCTGCTACACAAGCCACACCCACCAGCCAATCAGGGTGAGTGTACAAATTAACCCAACAAAGATGACAGTTAATTTGCATATCAAGACAGCATAGAGAGAAGCCAAGCCTGCAGAAGGGAGCAAAGCTGCAGAGAAGCAGGCGGGGGCAGCAGAGAAGGGAGGAAAGCAGGCGGGGCAGTGACCACAGCAGGAAGCCCTATTGCAGGAATCTTCCTGCAATGGGCCACTAGTAAATAAATAAAAATGAATGTGAAGCTCAACTTTCACTCATAATACAGTCATGATTGTATTCATATTTGGACTAGTCCGAAATAAATATAGGCTTTCTGCAATTGCATCGGATTCGGCTCCCTGGTAGTCTTTGGAGTTTATGATACTTGGGCATTACAACTAAGCTTTGGGAATTGAGTGGTAAGCATGACTGATATGGAAGTTAGGATTTAGATGGACAGACAGATGGTAATCAGACAGTAATCACCCATGTCCATGAGATTTATCTGGAGGCTGCATTCCTTCATGGGTCTGGTAAGCTCAGTGGTTAGGACCTTTCTTACCCTTTCAAGATGCTCTGTGGCTTTCCCAAGATTTGGCTCCCTGCAGACACTGAGTAGACCTCATGTGAATGATTGAGCAAAGTGGTAAATGCCTGAACTCTCAAGTTTGACTTAGGTTCTCATCTTAGAGTGTGATAGTTAATGTTATGTGTAAACTTGACTGTCCTAAGAGGAGGGGGAGGGAGCAGGTAGCTGGTGAATGTTGTTTCTGTGTGTTAACTGTGAGGGTGTGTCTGGGAGAGATTAACACTTGATCCAATAGCCTGAGTCAAGAGTACACCCCTCACCAACGTGGGTGGGCATCAGCCAGCTCACTGGGGGCCTGAATGGAACTAAAAGGCAAAGGAAGAATGAATTCTTTCTCTTTTCTTGAGTGGGTACTATCTTCTGCCTCCCAGACATTGGAACTCCTGCCTTTCAGATCTTTGGACTTTAAGGCTGACACTGATATCCCGAGCTGGAACTCTAGTGCAGGTTCTTGTCTCATGAAGTTTGAAGAATAAATTTCAAGGACAGAGGATTTTAAGCAAAAGTGTGAAAGCTTATGGCAAGCATATACAAACTCCCATGTGGGGAGGGGTCCCCAAATGGGGAACCTCCTGTGGAGGGGTTCCCAAAATGGGAAAACCCTGCTCTCTCTCCAAAATAGGAAGAAACCTGTGACTCTTTGCCTAGGGCAGTGGTCGGCAAACTCATTAATCAGCAGAGCCAAATATCAACAGTACAACAATTGAAATTTCTTTTGAGAGCCAAATTTTTTAAACTTAAAATTCTTCTAATGCCACTTCTTCAAAACAGACTTGCCCAGGCCATGGTATTTTGTGGAAGACCCACACTCAAGGGGCCAAAGAGCCGCACGCGGCTCACAAGTTTGCCAACCAGGGGTTTAAGGATTTAAAAATGCTGGCAGCTTCTTTGTACCTGCTACCTCCTAATTGGAACCTTTCCCATTTTATGTCCTCCCGTGCTTTTCCTAATTGGCCACTTTCCTCCTTTCCCCTGCATGGTATCAGTTTCAAAGCTCACCTGGTACCCCCCTCTTCTTTCCCTTATCTTTTCTGTCCTCGGTGTATATAGGATAAACAACCTGGTGGCTTGAAGCTAACTCGTCCCAGCATGTATGCATTCCTCTCCCATGGACATTCCTTCTCCTAACTGCCTCTCCTGTCTCTCAAATCCTCTCAGCACCAGTGACCTCCTGGTTCTGGGGCCTTTGACCTAAAACTGGGACTTATACCTTCAGCTCCGTCTGGTCCTCAGGCCTTTGTCTATGAACTATGCCAACTACTTTTCCTGGGTCTCCAGTTTGCAGACCACAGATCATGGAACTCCTCAGCCTCCATAGCCATGTGAGCCAATTCTTGAAATAAATCTCCTCATCTCTCTCTATATACATAGATAGATATGTAGATATAGAGATACATCCTCTTGGCTCTGTGTCTCTGGAGAACCCTGCCTATTATAAGAAACTTGGTACAGCCACTCTGGGTTAGTGATGCAATCTGGGGATTGGATCCAAAACACTGATGCTCTGAAGATCTTCAAAGATGATTGAGCTTAATCCTTTGTTAATGTAAAAACATTCAAACCCGAGGGTGGGAGTGGCCAGGGAGAGGTCAATGGGGGTGGGGGTGGAGACATATGTAATACTTTATTTTTTTTAACCGATTTTTTTTTTCTTAGAAAACACAGCAGCCTAGACAATACCCTCAGGCTCCCGAACATTCCGGCCATATGTAATACTTTAAACAGTAAAGAATTTTAAAAAAAAGAAAAAAAAAGAAGGAACATGTAAAAAGTAATAAATAGCCAGGACCGGTTTGGCTCAGTGGATAGAGCGTCGGCCTGCGGACTAAAGGGTCCCGGGTTCGATTCTGGTCAAGGACATGTACCTTGGTTGCGGGCACATCCCCAGTGGGGGGTGTGCAGGTGGCAGCTGATCGATGATTCTCTCTCATTGATGTTTCTAACTCTCTATCCCTCTCTCTTCCTCTCTGTGAAAAATCAATAAAATATATTTTAAAAAAAAAGTAATAAATAAATGGAGCCACTTTAAAATGGACCCAGAACTGCCATGCTAGAGAAACTTTTCATGTCATATGCCTTAAAACTTTGGAATGTTAAAACAGGGCAAAATAACCTTTGGACTGGGCAGTTACTGTGAACTGTGTGCAAACATAGCAAGAGAGCAGTTAAGACTACTGGACTGATGACTAGTAAACCCCAAATTAAAAGCATTCTTTAGAATTCATATCACTATGTTATAATATACGCACAAATAGAAATGCCTTCCTGCTATTGATGTAATTGTTTCCCTTCTCTTTCTCATATTCTTTCCCTTTGTCTTCTAATGGGAACTGAGAGGTTTGCAATGCAGGAGACAAAACACAGAGTCCAGGCGATTAAAAAAGGAGGGAGGTTTTAATCTTGCGTACCTGGGCAAAATTTGCTGGTCCAAGGGTGGGCCAGGGAAGTTCAAACTAAAAAGGCATAGCTGTTTAGTGGGGGAAGGGGGAAGGGCATGCAAGGTGTGGAATTTCTGCCTCAGGCCAGGGGTCTAGGAAGGGGCCAGTTATCTCTGTCACCATCTACCTTGCAGATGCTTGCATCAGCCCCGGACTTCTCCCCTGCCTCCACCTAACCTCCTGGCCTTTTGGTGATAGGGGGCGCTGAAATCATCCTGGCTACTTCCTGCTGACCTGGGGCAAAGAGGGTAGGGGGATGTTAAATGCCAGGGTCAGGCAGAGGCGGGTTGAAGGGCAACCAAGTGTAGGGATAGAGCAGAAGCTGGTTTACAGTCACTCGAGACATTTCCTCCATCCATCCGGGAGCGGATGCATTTGAGGAGGCAGGGAGCTAGGGAAAGAAAGACACAGATGAGAATTAGAAGCCCTATCAGGGGTAGGATCCAGGTAGCTGAAGGGCTTTGGAGCCAGCGGAAAAGAGAGTTGTCCCGGGAGTGTGCATGTAATTCTTCACTCAGCTTAGTCAGGGCCTCCAGGTTCTGTTCCACCACTCCGGACTTGTTGATGTAGTAGCAGCATTCTTTTTGAAGGAGCATGCAGGTTCCTCCTTTTTCCGCAGTGAGAAGGTCTAGGGCCCGTTGTCGGTTCCGCAGGGCTATTTGGGCTACTGATGTTCCTTGCCGCTGCGGGGAGGCTAAGGAGGCAGTAGTAGAGTCCAGGGCTATCTGGAGTTTGTCATTGAAATCCTGAGCAGAGATTATGCTGTTCCCGAGGCTCCCCCCAGGTAGGCCTACTGAGGCAGCGATACTTACCCCCAACTTGACAGGGGGGAAGGCGGCCCGGCGGGCCCGGGGTTGGGATGAAGGGCGCAACCAGGCGAGCTCTGACTCTCCATACAAGGTTAGTTGGGGAACTACTGTGACTACGAAGCAAGGCCCGGGATCAGAGGAGTTTATGCAGTTGCTTACGGTGCCGTTGCACCAAAAGAAGGTGCCCGGGCTGGCCTTGGTGGGACTGGCTGCCGTGTGGCTTTGGGTACAGTTCCAAGTGACCCGTCCCACAGTTACCGGGTTGCTGGTCTGGTAGCATATCCGCGGGGGCAAGGTGGGTTCCGGAGTTTCGGGTTCCCAGAGGGGAATGCCAGTCAGGGGAGGCTGACATTCACCGTGTCCTTGGGTTCCCACTGGAGTCACGAGTGGGACAGCAGCCAGCAGAGGTCTTTGGAGAGAGACACATAGAAAGCAGTGCGAGACATTGGGCAGGGTGCGGGTCTCGTTAAGGAATAGTAGAGTGTGTTGGATAAGTTGGAGCCAAGAAGACAGGACTTCTTCCCGAGGGGAATCAGGCAGTTTCCCTTTAAGGGGATGTTCGGCCTGTAGGCTGCTGTTGGAGACCTGGAGTTGGGCCTCCTGGGCCATGACATATTCCCGGGAGATGTAGATGGTCCCTGAAGGGGTCGAGCTCCAACCATCCCCATACAGTCTTCCCATAACGCCCACAGCCCATCGCTGGTCCCAGGGGTCCCGGACCCTGATGTTGAAGGTCCCGTCCTTCCAGAAAAAGGGGCCAGACCTGACCTCTTTGTAGGCATCATGGATGACACAGTCCGACCAGCGGCAGCCCCCATAGGTGTTGACGTCCCGATTACACCTGTCTGGGTCCCGCTGGTCGTAAGCAAAGCAGGCATATGGTCGGCAACTCTTGGACACTGACCGGAAGTCGACAGCAATCAGGATCTCCACCTGGTATCCGACCAGAGGGCAGTCCTGAGTTCCTACCTGCTGGGTGACTTGTGTGCTGTCCTGGTCTTAGGTTTCACAGATCTTGAACCTCCACACATAAGCAGGTGGGGGTGGGTGGGGGTTACCCAGGGCCCAGAGAAGAAGGAGGAGGGAGAGGGTGGCTAAGGCCCAACACCTCATATTTATAGAAGTCATGCTGCTCCGGGGTCCTCTTGAGTCTGGAGAGGTGGTGCCACGATGGATTGCCAAGTAGTTTGGCCGCGGTGGGGGTTGTGAGGATGACTGTGTGAAGTCCCGTCCACCTGGGGTCCAAGGCCTTGGGATGTAGATTCTTAAGGAGGTCTGAATCTCCTGGCTGAAGGGCTGGTTCTCGGGAGCCTTGGTCTCCTGGTTCTGGCCTGGGGAGAAACCAGTCAGCGTATTCCCGGAGCAACTGCCTGCGTAGAGACAGGTATGGAAGATAAGAGCCAGGAGAGGAGGGTCAGTAGGGAGACGAAGATTGAGCAAGACAGGTCCTGCCTCAAGCCGAGACCGGTTTGGCTCAGTGGATAGAGCATTGGTCTGCAGACTGAGGGGTCCCGGGTTCGATTCTCGTCAAGGGCATGTGCATTGGTTGTGGGCACATCCCCGGTAAGGGGGTGTACAGGAGGCAGCTGGTCAATGTTTCTCTCTCGTCGAGATTTCTGGCTCTCTGTCCCTCTTCTTTTCTCTCTGTGGAAAATCAATAAAATATATTAATAAAAAATAAAAAAAGAAAGAAAGGTCCTGCCTTCACCTAACAGGAACAGCATTTGGGCTTCTGCCTGAATGAGTGTATCCAGAACAGCTATTTTTATTATTCATAAATGAGTGCTTGTTGCCTCTAAAAAACAATAACATTCAAACTTTTGTGAGTTTATTTGAGCCAAACTATCTACGATTGCCAGGAAGCAGTATCTCATCGAATTGGGATAATGCTCCAGAGAATGGCAGTTTTCACCTTGTTTTATACATTACAACTAAAGGGGGAAATGTAAGTGGGTTACATGAAGTCCAAAGGCGATAGATTAGGGAGGCGGGAGAAAGAAAAGCAGAGAAACATCTGGGATTGGGTCAAAAGTAAAATAGAAGGCACATACTTCTTTTACTTAGGTGGGTGCAGGATCGTTAGCAGTCACAATTAACGTAATAACAAGGAAGGAATTTGTGATTTGTGGTATCAGTCCCAGTTCTCAGGGCATTTGGTTGTGCCCTGAGGGGTCAGGACAAAGGTAAATTACAAGTTGCCCTGACATTTTAAAGGCTCAGTTAAGGTAAAGACTGACCTTTGTCAGGGAAAATACCGGCCTAAGATGTGACTTAACTGCTTTTAAGTTAAAGTTTTAATTTCAGACCATAATTTGTGGTTCCTATAGTCTCTAAAGTTTGCCAGGACTCCATGCAAGCCTTCCCTGAGCTTATCAGGTCAGCATGTGGCCCCTTTTCCGTCCACGCCTTTAATACAGAGTTGAGGAGGCTGAGTCCTAGAAAAATGACTTGGACATACAGCTAACTCATTCAAACTAATGTGGACGAAAAGGGGCCGCATGCTGAACTGACAAACTCAGGGGAGGCCTGTGTGGCAGCCTTGCAAACTCTAGAGACCTAAAGTAACCAACCACAAAAGATGGTCTGAAATGAAAACCTTTTAACTAAAAGCAGTTTGTGGCAGGAAGTCATGTCTTAGGCTAGATTCTTCCAAGACAAAACTCAATCTTTACCTTAACTGAGCCTGTCCGTTGTCTTTTGCATCTATGATAACATACCATTGGAATGTCAGGGTGACCTCGTAATCTCCCTTCTTCCTGACCCAGGAGGGCACAACCAATGCTCCAAGGCACTGGACAGAGACCACAAATTCAGTGTCATCATGTTAATTTTGAGTCTTAATTATCCTGTACCCACCTCAGTAAAAGAAGCATGTGTCTATCATTTTACTTTTTATCCGATTCCAGAGGTTTCCATGCTTTGCTTTCTCCCACCTCCCTAACCTATCAATCACCAATGGATTTCATGTAACCCATTTAGGTCTCTCCTTTGATTGCAATGTACAAAACAAGGTGAAAAAGTCAGCATTCTACAGAGCGTTATCTCAATATGTTGAGATTCTGCTTCTTGGCAATTATCAACAGTTTGACTCAAATAAACTCACAACACGGGGAAGGGACATGGTTAAGAGAGACTCGGGCTTCTGTTCTGAACAATTTCTACTTAGACTCTTTCACAGCCACACCTTTGAAACTTGTTTTTGCTGTGCCCTTGACTTCGGATGCTCTTCCATCTCCATTTCCAGCTCAGTGTTCCAGGCTAAGAATAAATGCATTTCTTCTCTGAATAGGTTATTGATCCCTTGACAGGAAGTGCACTCTCCCTCTTTGAGGCCGCTAAACTAGGCTCTCAGTGGTCACTTTGCCAGTCTCCTTGTGGTTGTGTGAGCATCAGTGCCCTGGGAAACACTGGGAGGGAGAGATGATGACCTGCTTCTGTCCACTGCGTGTTTCTGGCCTTGCATGTGGGCACTAGGTGCCGATCCTGCTTCCTTTCTCAGTCCAGCCTTCCCAGCCACCTGCTGCTAAATTACTCCCTGAACTTGCCATGGGAGCCCCTCTGCCAATCCCTCGTGAGCCCAAGAGGCTTTAGTACTCACTGTGCAACAAATTCATTATTCGCTGGGGAGAGGTAGAGCTAAGCTGTGGCTGCTTTCTGCTCTTGAGACCCCCTCATCAAGACTGGTGTTCACCTTTCCCAGAAAATATGCAGGGCAAAAGAAGGAGAAAGCCTCCTGCCTGTAGAATCTCTCGCAGAAGCCCCTCTAATTCTACAAAATAGCCTTTCTTTAAAACAAACAAACAAAAAAAAAAAACCTCACCATCCAGAACTGAAATATCATTGCTGACATGTACACATAAGGAACTGTTTGACATTGAAATAGGGTCTCAAAAGAACTGGTGGCCCAGAAAGAAACTCACTACAGTCTGATTCATATGCCTTTCAGCATAATGATTATTGCTTGTCTCATTTTTTATTCTTATAAGTATAGTTCCAGTAGGACATGATCTCACTCATCTAGGGGAAATGGTGAACAACATAGACTGGTGAACAAGAACAGATCCAGAGATAAGGAGCCATGGGTCAGACTGTTGGACCTCAAAGGGAGGGAGGGGATAAAAGGGAGAGATCAACCAAAGGACTTATGCGCATACATATGAGCCTAACCAGTGGTCAAGGACAATAGGGGGGTGGGGACATGAGTGGGGGAGGGGGTGGGGGGTTGGAATGGGGGGTTGAGGACAAATATGTGATACTTTAATCAATAAAGAAATTGAAAAACAAAACACAAACCATATATTTTTCAAAGAGGAAGGGAGAGGGAGAGAGAGAGAGGCAGAAACATCAATGATGAGAGAGAATCATCAGTCAGCTGCCTCCTGCATGCCCCACACTGGGGATCCAGCCCCCAACCCAGGCATGTGCCCTGACTGAGAATCGAACCTCAACCTCCTGGTTCATGGGCTGTTGTTTAACCACCGGGCCATGCTGGCTGGGCAAGTAGCCTTGCTTTTTAATGTTTCAGTTGGACAGTTAAAAAAACAAGCACTTGCCCTTCATTATTACAAATGTGGTCTTAGAATTATGACAGTATGGCTTCGTGAGGCCCCTTTCTGCCCAAGGAAAAGCGAAAAAGAGGCTTGTAGCTGCTAGCTGTAGGTTCCCCTGGAGCTTGGCCGCTGGACCCAGACATCCATCAGGATCACTTACTAAGTGATCACCCATGTCCTGTGGCCAAGGGAGAGCCCCGTGGTCAGGAAATAAAGGGAACACAGAACATTGTGTCTGGTTTCTGTCTCGTAGCTTCCTTTTTACTGCGGTGGAAACATCAAGGTGGGTGGGGCCTGACCCAGAGAGGCCAGTTATGCCTCTATGTTGCTGAGTCCAGACTCCTCTGCAAGCCCCAGCTACCAGCCAATGCCAATAAGGGCAAGGTGCAGATCGCTAACCTTGGATTTCAGAGGCCTCCTGAGGGGTGCTTTGCCCTCTCCCTTTTGAGAGCTACGTGCTCTGCTGAAAGTGAAAGCAGAAAGAATGAAGCGCATTCATTTTCTCCTGTGGTCTGACATCACAATCCCAGCCTTCCTCATTTATCTTCTTTCTTCCAGTTTTGTTGGTCTGAGTGTGCTCTCCTGGCCTATGGGAGGCCATAGCCTGTCCACCCTCCTCTCAGGGTTCTGTATCTTCCTTGTGCCTCCAGAATGCACTGAACAGCTATGCAATTTGCTCATTGCATTACTCTAGGGGGCGCCACTCACAGGATTGATGAAGAAAATTGCACAATGGTACACAATTGTCCCGTGGGCCTCCTTCCATCCTTCATACACTGTCTTAGTCATGTGGATGTCCCATCAGAGTTGATGACTCTGAGTTCCTTTTTCCATTTTTGAGAGAGTTTTGTGTAGAGAAACATTTCTCTATTATAAGAAGAAAAAGTGCACGATGACAAGTGGTAATTAAGATGCAGTCTCAGTCCTCACCGGGTTGGCTTAGTGTGTAGAGCATTGGCCTGCGAACTGAAAGGTCCCAGGTTGGTCAAGGACATGTACCTTGGTTGCAGATTCCAGTCAAGGGCATGTACCTTGGTTGCAGGTACATCCTCAGTAGGAGGTATGCTGGAGGTAGCTGATGAATGTTTCTCTCTCATCAATGTTTCTAACTCTCTATCCCTCTTCCTTCTTCTCTGTAAAAAAATCGATAAAATATATATTTATTTTAAAAAATGGGGTCTCAGCATTGAGGAGAAACTAAGGGAGTGAGAGGAGAGGTAGCAATGGAGCATGTAGGCTTGAAATGAAGAGAGAACTTATACTCAATTCTAGCAGATTAAAAAAGAATATATATATATATATATATATATATATATATATATATATATATATATGTGTGTGTGTGTGTGTGTGTGTGTGTGTGTGTGTAATTGATTTCAGAGA